TGTACGGTATGCAGTGACATAGGAATGGCTTCCCACTGTATAAGTACACTGTACGGTATGCAGTGACATATACGGTATGCAGTGACATAGGAATGGCTTCCCGCTGTATAAGTACACTGTACTGTATGCAGCGACATAGGAATGGCTTCCCACTGAATAAGTACACTGTACGGTATGCAGTGACATATACGGTATGCAGTGACATAGGAATGGCTTCACACTGTCTTGCAAGATTCATCCAACCACAACGGATAACTACGATAACGGTAGGATACGGTACGGCTACAGTCAGCTACGAATTTGCCTTACAGCAGTTTTCGTATGATTGTGAAAAGCTCAATGCCGTATGCGTGCCTTGCCACGATTGTGTTGTTTTCTAGAATTTTGATTGGCTGATTGTTTTCTCGCTTGTGATTGGTCTGGCAGTGCCGTGACCTTGGCGTGACCATATGATTGGATGCAGAGCAAATTTTCGAGCAATGCGATTGGTCTGGTGTATGCCTTGCCGTGTCACGGCCGTGTTTATGCCACGAGCTTTTCACAGTGTCATACGAAGACTACTCTATCGTTACAGCTAGTAACAGTACTCACGTGATGTCTTGGATGCTAGTATAGTGACTGTAGGTCCACCATTGTACTGCATGGCTAGAGCAGACAAAGGAATAACTGCATCGTCGACCATTTCTAGAGGAAACAAAATGCCAGTCACTTCTACATACTACTACTTCAAATAGAATAGCTTCTCATCGTTTTCGTATATAATGTGTAGTTATGGTGAGAATACGTTAAGTATACTGTATTCCCCGACGACATGAAATATTTTATTCATTCATTGATTGATTCCTTGCCAATTGATTGATTGATTCGTCAGTCGGTCATTTATTTATTTATTATATACGATAGAACACGACAAACCTTACACTCCACATTATTAACCCCCCTCCTCCCGTAAAATTGATGGCCCATCCCGTAGTTAACATTCATGGATTATCTTTATCACAGTAAATTGAGTTCTATTCAGCGTCTTTACCTACCAGGGAATAGCTCTGCCAAGTTAACTGGAGCCTTGTTTGTTTCAATAGTAAGCTGAATAATAACAACAAAAAGAGTTACCCATTCAATCTGTTTGATGACTCAGTTGTCTCAGCTGTTTGTTACTAGCTCCTCAGCGCCTTTTCTCTCCCTCCTTCACCTTCTTACTTTCGCCTTCGTTTGTTCATTCGATCATTCTTTCGCTTTCGTTTGTTCATTCTTTTTTTCGATGGTTGTCCTTTGTTTACATACCTTGTAAGTGGCATTCTTCACTGGCTGGGCACCCTTACAGACCAGATTCAAAGGCAGCTCCACTTTATGCTGTGCCACACGAGGGGCATCTATAATGAGAAAGCAATTGAATTCAATCCTGTTTTAATAACAATACTGAGAGACCGCATAGAGCCATTCACGATCATCCTACTTGTTTGTTTGTTTTTTGAAATATCTGTAAAGTAACGACGTCGTGTTTACAACTACTGTGCAGATTATTAAAAGTTTTATATACTATTAATTGATACCTGAACTGGTTAAATAAGTAGCGGTGATGTGGGCATCAAGATTCGATGGAATCATTCCTCCACGGGAATAGAACGCCACCTCTGCCACGACAGGCTCATTTCGATCACCTAAAATATACAAAAATATAAGAAATAAACTGAGATTTCATTCAAATGTACGATAATATGCTGGTTAAAATAATAAGAGATTTTTTCCCCATTTGCTTAGTCGTAGATCTCAAACTAGACTGCGAGCTAAGTCCCTCTATTTCCCTTGGTCACTGTCCATCTGTCTGTCTGCCAGCCCCCTCCCCCAGGGACTTTTGACTCGTAACCAATCTTCCTCGACCAATCGACACGGACAGACAGACGGACAGTGACCAAGGAAAATAGAGGGACTTAGCTCGCAGTCTAATCTCAAACATATCACCCTAAGCGAATAACGGTATACTATATGCGCAAGAGGCATTATTGTTAAAACTTTTCCGTTCAGGCATTACTTACCAATAATAGGAAACACAATCGATGATCTGTTACACATGATTGGCGCACTGGCGTTAATGCTTAAAACAACATTTTCTATTGGTCTAAGGGCTAGAGACTCCAGCATGATCTAGATATTACAAGAAGTGGGTATAACATATATAAGTTAAACAGTGCAGGTTAGATGTGTTTATGTAATTTTTTCCTAGAGTAAGTGGTATATGGTCATTGGCCAACGCACGTTTTATAACTTCGTTACAGACAGTACAGAAATGACTTCACTTATTTTTTACTGTTTCTTTGTTAGTTCGTTTTGAATCAACTCTGCTTCACACGAGATTTCTTTACTCTTCTCTCTGGTTCTTTAAACAATAGACCTCCTCGGCTTGGGCGTAATGTGAATGCGAATGGACTGGCCTTCGGTTGGCTGGATCGTACGGAACGTAGACGTTTTTTTTTGCGCCGAATTTGCAGCTTTTATCCTAATATTTTTATTTTATTATAGATAACTACTGATTCTATACCAAAATTCTGCAAAAAAATGCAACAAGACGCTCTTGGAGCGTGCAAAACGTTGCCCAATGTGCTGGGACGCTGGAGCTTATTTAACACCTAATTTTTGTTATGTACCGCTATCTGGGAGGAGGGGGTACTTTAGAACATTTCAGGTGTAATTTTCTTTCAGAACTCGCGAACTATTTTTTTTTCTCACATCAAAATTATAAACGTTTGATTATTGATCTGTTAACATCTTAGTGAGCGAGTGAGCGGGTGACACATTTGCATATTCAGACCCCTCGCAATAACTTGTTTCTACGCTTCACGCATCCACGAGTTAAACAGGCATCATTAGCATTAATTCAGCTGAATTTCAAAGTGTTAGAAGATGGAGTGAAAACTGGCATCAGTTGCGTACCGTGATAGTAATTGAAGGACAGCTATCTTCATCCGCCTCATCAACCATAGATTGCTGTGAAACACAAACAAAAGGGCTTATTTGTAACTAACATAACTATGGTTACAGTAAAGCAAGGTAAGGCAAGGGATGACTACAAATATATAAAGGCAAGAACGACTGTCTTTATCTCGGCGTGTTTTTTTGTTCTTTTTCCAGGTAAAATAAGGAGTGCATCAAACAAGGAGAGGATTTTGCATGAGTAGAAAAATGCAAGAAATTCCTCACTTCCTTTCATAGTTTACTGATTTACTCCAAAGGCAGGTCTGCCCTGGTAGCCGCAGCCATACCATATTTGCTGTCACCCTATCTAAATGTTTTTGACTAGGAGAATCAGGTGTCTTACCATGTACTGCATGTTCTTACCACTCAATTTTTTCATAGCTAGAGAAAAGTCAAAAGGTTAAAGTTTGGTTTAATACAACTAAGATGAGCGTGTGGTACTTACTGATACTTTATCTAATGTTAACGGTACTTGAACTCGAATCAGAAGGTCTTCTTTTTGCTGTGTGCGAGGAAGTATCTCTGGGGAAAATAAGAAGAAGTTGAATATGATAAAAATTTATGTTCTATTTCTAAGTAACATATTTTTGTAGCAAATACAGTCAACTCTCGCCTTAAGGACACCCCAATATCATGGACACCTCCCTATTACGGGCAGGAGAAAAATCCCCGACAAAAATACTGACAAAGAAATGACCGTAAATAATTTTCGCTATTGCGGGCGCTCTCTATTACGAACATGAAGTGACGGTCCCGAGGGTGTTCGCTGTAACGAGAGTTGGCTGTATATGGATTGGTACCTGAACTAATTGTAGATTCTCTGATGACTTTCTGTAAATCTCTCATTTCACTGTCTGCTTCCTAAATAGGATCCAAAAGACAAATAGTGAATAAAAGCAAAAAGTCAAATAAAGAAGCAATAGACAAGTAAAAGTGCATAGTAGGATCCAGAAACTGTAGCAGTAATAGAAGCATAATAGCAGTGATAAGAAAAGCAATGAATATGGATACAACTCATACAAATCTTATTCTCAAGAGTACGACACAATATGGTCTGAAATGGGAAAACATTATGCCCAAGGTAAAGAGATCAATTGAATTCTTTCTCATGTAAAACAATTGTATTGTTCCTGCCAAAACATCAGTCTATATATGATCCTTACCTCATAGTTAATATCTCTAGCTTCAGGTGCAGGTGTTACCATCATGGATGGATCTGTGCCTAAGTAGGAGCACTGCAGAAAACCTACCTCATCTAAGGTTACTATAACCCCTTCAATGTTTCTAATAGAAAAAAGGAAAATTATTTAATTAACCACTTTCAATAAGGACAAGGGATGCTGCAATTTCTAGAAAATACTTACGGAAATTTTGCTACTTTCACAGCCACAGGGATGTGTGGTAACTGTGCTGCCCATGAAAGTGTTACATCTTGGTATACTAACAAAGATTTTGTATGGGTCCCTACCAACATGCTAACAGATCCTTCTTTCACTGTCAATTAAGAAAAGAAACACATTGTGAGGAATAGAATTTTCCTTTCTCAAAACCCATTTCCCATTCCTTGGAAATTTCGACTACCCACATAAACAACTGCAAGGTATGAACCCCCTTCCCCCTACCCACATACACAA